AACTGACAGCTGTATCACCCCAAGATCAAAGCGCACACCACTTTCGTACCACGGCGAACAGGAGGCTGGGCCCCGGCGAGGACAACGCTCGGAATGGCGACAGGTGGGCTGACCTGCTGAATGTCAAAGCTCCTGCCTTTGCAGCCTGAGGCTCTTGGCCAGCCGTCGCGAGCATGTCCTGTGGGCGCCCAGGTGTCCAAGCTTGTCACCGCCCGACCACGCCTGCGACCTGCAAGTGGGGCCCCAACGGCTTCGAGGCGATTGATGGAAGTAACGGCACGCAATGTATTGCTGACCAGCCGACTCTGGTCCGGCACATCACCGGCATGTGTCACGAATGAGGGTTGACGTGCACTGCCATCAGCCATGCACCTCTCTCGCCTCGGGCGCCCGCCCGAAGAACGATGAGCAAACACAGCCGTTGCTTGTTGGGCGGCCCCAATCTTTGATCTCAATCACAGGCGGAGCTTGTTCGTCGCAACTGTTGCTCCTAGTCATACTTTTGGCGCTGCTGCTGGTCGCGGCGCCGCCGGCCGGCGCCCGCACCGCGAGCAGCGACGCGGCGGCGGACGGGGCAACAGCGACCCCAGCAGCGCTAGCAACAGTCGCTGTCCAGCGGCGGCGGCTGCAGCAGGTCATCCAGATTGTGAGCGGTGGCATAAACTATACGATGGCTGCCAATGCCACTGTCTTCAGCCCTCCGCCTGGCGGCAACATCCTAGACATCCTCGGCCCCGTCAACGCGCTCCTCGGCATCGTGGGCCTGGGCGTAAACAGCGTCCAGACACCCCCCACGATCGGCAGCGTGGTGCTCGATCCGTCTGGGAACGGCGACTTTACGTACACTGCGCCGGCGGTGTCGTACGGAGGCAAGCACCAGCAGACACTCGTGGCTGCTACTGCGGGGCAGGCGCGGCGTCACCATACGGCCGTATGCGTGCACGCCTGCTCTGTGTGTACTCTTGACATGTCATGGTCTCCCGTTGCTGCCTGGCCCACCACTGGAAATGGCGCACCGCTTCTCAATTTCCCTCAGGTTTTACGGATAGGTTCTGCGTCAATGTGGGCAACTTTCTCCTCAGCAATGTGCAGTGTGTATTCATCATCAGGCCCGCGCTGACGTGCAACCCAACGTGCGCCAACGGCGGCACGTGCACAAACATTGATACCTGCACGTGTGCGCCTGGCTATACCGGGAACTACACCGGTTGTAACACGCCGGGTGAGCCGACGTAGACGCAGCAGTGCTGAGCTGCTCGGCCTGCATGCACGCGCCTGCCTCTTCCATGTGCTGTCTCATCAGGGCGCCAATGCAGCAAGAACGTCCTCCCAAATGACAACCCCTTTCCTTCAGGACAGCTTTGCGCATTGATTGCAGGATGAAATGCTGGGTGCCAAGCTGTCCCACGCTCATTGCCGTACATTATTGCTCACTCATCTGACCACCTGCTCGTGGAAACCCGCCTCGTCCCCCATCCACTTGCAGTGTGCACAACACCCTGCCAAAATGGAGGGGTTTGCTCGGCTCCAAACACGTGCGATTGCACAGGCACAGGCGGCTGGACTGGGGCCACCTGCACCACGCCCAGTGAGTGCGCCTGGTGCGGGCGTTGCAGCCGCGCAGAGCGATGCATGTGGTGGTGCCAAATTTAGAAGGTCGAAGCCTTCTGCGCAGAAATAATGCTGCGATACGCTTTGCTATGCAACCTGACCACTCTATCTGCCCACCACTTCCCGGCAGCCGCGGCGTTGTGCGCCTCTGCCCCATGCCTGAACGGAGGTGTCTGCGTGGGGCTGAACACGTGCAACTGTTCAGCGACGGGCGGCTGGACTGGGGCTACGTGCTCTACCCCAAGTAAGCGCGCGTTGCATGGGCCTGATCAGCGGGGCCTGCCCAGCGGGGCGATGTGGTGCGTGTTTGTTGGAGTGTTGGGGAAAGCTGTCGGATGCAGGAGCGCAGCACGCAATGTCTACCGCCCTGACGCGCTGCACCAATCTCCTCGCACGGTCCTTGCAGCCGCGGCGTTGTGCGTCTCCGCTCCGTGCCTCAATGGAGGTGTTTGTGTTGGGCTGAACACGTGCAACTGCTCAGCCACTGGCGGCTGGACCGGAGCGACCTGCTCAACACCAAGTAAGGGACTCAGAGATTGCTGGGGTGCCCATTGGAATCAGACAAACGATACCTGTTGGATGTGCAGCGCTAGCAGCTCCTGCCACCTACCCTGACAACCGACTCACTGTGCCCCGCCCAACATCTGCAGCTGCAGCATTGTGCGCCTCTGCCCCATGCCTGAATGGAGGCGTTTGCATGGGAGTCAACACATGCAACTGCTCCGCCACCGGCGGCTGGACTGGAGCCACCTGCTCCACCCCAAGTGAGCCCACCCTGCATGGGCCTGATTGAAAAGCATCGAGGTAATGTGTATCTGATTGGGATGACTGATGTTGGATGTAAGCGTGCAACAACTCCTGCTTCCTGCCCCACCTTCTCACTCTCGTCCCTGCAGCCGCGGCGCTGTGTACATCTGCCCCATGCCTCAACGGGGGTGTTTGTGTCGGGCTGAACACGTGCAACTGCTCAGCGACTGGCGGCTGGACCGGAGCAACGTGCTCCACCCCAAGTGAGTGCGGCGTGAGGGGACCTGTCGCACAGCACTGAGGCGCCTGTTGCTCCGTTTTGAAGGTAGCTGTTTGATGCACAGTGCTAGCAGCGCTTGCCACCCTGATTAATCGCCTCTCCGCTCTGCCCACCGCACATGTGCAGCTGCGGCATTGTGTGCCTCCACCCCATGCCTGAATGGGGGTGTCTGCACGGGTGTCAACACATGCAACTGCTCTGCCACGGGTGGCTGGACTGGAGCCACCTGCTCCACACCAAGTGAGCCCGGCTTGCACAGGCCCGCTGAGCAGAGGGAAGAGGTGGGGGTTTGATCCAGATCAGAAGAGGAGGCGGTGTAACTTTAAACTTTGAATCCACGCTGACTGCTGACAAGAACGACTGCAGTTTGTCTGTTCTCCCTGTCCCCCACGTGCAGCGGCCATGTTGTGCGCCTCTGCTCCATGCCTCAACGGAGGCGTTTGCTTGGGTGTCAACACTTGCAATTGCTCAGCCACGGGCGGCTGGACCGGTGCCACATGCTCCTCCCCAAGTGAGCGTTCACGCCTTGCAGGCTGCCGAGCAGGTTGCTGGGGTGGGTTTTGGTGCTAATCAAGAGGCGGCTGTTGCGCACAGCAGGTGCCGCCGCAAAACATTGCCCCGTCCAATCCTTCACTCTCCCTGCCCGATTTGCAGCCGCGACGCTGTGCGCGTCAGCCCCCTGCCTAAACGGAGGCGCTTGTGTGGGCGTGAACACGTGCAATTGCTCTGCCACGGGCGGCTGGACAGGAGCCACGTGCTCCACCCCCTGTGAGTGCGGCTGCTGTGGTACTGGTTTTTCAACATGGCACTGGGGCGGGCCATCAATATCAATTGAGAGGCAGCTGTTGTCAGCGCAGCGAGTGCTGCTATAACATACTGCTGAAATCATGCACTCCACTTCTCCCTTCTCCCACGCTTGCAGCCGCGGCGCTGTGCGCCTCAGCTCCCTGCCTCAATGGGGGCGCTTGCGTGGGCGTGAACAAGTGCAATTGCTCTGCCACGGGGGGCTGGACAGGAGCCACATGCTCCACCCCAAGTGAGTGTGTTGGCTGTGGCGCCGTTGAGTACAGCGCTGGCACATGCGATGGATATCAAGGAAGAGGCGGCGCATCAAATTGCTGCTGCAAAGCGACTTTGTAATCAATTTCATCCACTCATCCCTCTCCTTCCTTCTGCAGCCGCAGCACTGTGTGCATCAGCCCCTTGCCTCAACGGTGGCATTTGCATCGGCGTCAACAAATGCAACTGCTCGGCCACCGGCTTCACTGGGGCCACCTGCTCCTCACCAGCGGGTGGGTGTGAAGCAATGCTATGGTCGGGTGTGGCTAGCACACACTAACAAAGAACGGTTTGAAGCAGACTCAGCGGCGCGTGCGATCAATTGATGCTCCTCTAATTGCGCTTCCAGCGCCCCGATCTTTGTACACCCAACCAGCGCCCTCGGTCACTCCTCCCCTCACCTGCACAGTCTGCAGCCCCAGCTGTGCGAACGGCGGCCGCTGCGTAGGAGCCAATGTCTGCGACTGCAGCGGCACCGGGTTCTCAGGCGCAGCCTGCACGACCCCAGCAGGTGCGTGCCCCGTCGTGCTCTATGTAGTCTTGCTAAATCTCTGGCTGCTGCAACCCCACCCACTGTCAAGCAGGCATACCATCAACCGCCGCCGACCATGCACATCACGAACTTGGGAGGATACATGAGAATGCAATTATACTTGTATCAGCATCAAAGCGGGCAGAGACGCCGCGGAGTAGGAAAGCTTGCTGTCGTGCAAGACCTGCAGCATTGCAGAGACAGCTTTGCGCAGCTTATCTCCTTGCGCAGCGTATCTCCTTTGCTGAATTCTCCGTCCCTCACAACATTCCAACTAACACTCGCATACAACAAACATGCTGCCACCGCAGTTTGCAGTCCAAGTTGCGTAAACGGGGGGCGTTGTACCTCCAACAACGTCTGCGACTGCAGCACTGCAAGGGGCTTCACCGGTCCCACTTGCGCCATCCCCGAGCAGACCAGCCCCGTCGGCGGCGTTTTCACGTGCCCGCGTGACGCCATCTGCCTGGTGGGCACGCCCGGTGTGCTGAGCCTGGCTCCAAATGTTAGCAGCGGCTCGGCCCTGATTGTGACAGGTGTCAGCGCTACCACGCCGCCTGGAGGCACCCTCAGTTGGAAGCCGGACGGATCATTCAGTTACACCCCAGTCCTGTGAGTATGGAGCCCTGGGTGGGCATGTCGCAAGTGTTCAGAGGCTGTGCGTGATGCGTCAGGTGGCCCAGACAGGCTGACTTGCGTGTGTTTGGAGGAAGCTGGAGGGGTTCACTCTTTCTTGGGCGTGTGTTATGTGGGCGAAAGAAACGAGGCAGGATGACAAGTGGGTGTTGTTTTGACGCTTGCGTACAGGCACATGTGTGGATGTTGAAGAGGGGAGCAAGGCCTTCAAGGAAGGGCTGGCACGTGATGAGCAACATGGCCGTCTGGGGTTGCATCTGTGTGTCCCTCTGGCAGGGCAAAGCAAGAAAGTGCTACCCACACCAGCCTGCCAGCCCCAATTCTCCCGATTGCTCCGCACATGTAGTCACCGCCACTGACAATCAATCGCACCCCAAATCCTACCGCAGTGGCTTTGCAGGCAATATCACATTCAACGCAACCCTGAGCAACGGCACAAACTCAACTATCGTCAAAGTCCCAGTGACGCTGTCTGTATCGGCCGCGGCGCCACCTGGGCCAGTTGCCGTCACTGACGTGTTCAGCTGTGCCTACGGCCAGGTGTGCGCTGTGGCGGCGCCTGGTGTGCTGTCTAATGATGACAGTGCAACCCCCGGCACCGTCTTGACCGTGGTTGCCTCCACAAATGTTTCCACGGGCAGCCTTGAGCTGCAGGCTAACGGGTCATTTGTGTACACACCTGCGACGTGAGTGATAAGGGTTGCGGGGCGGCAGGAGTTTTGTTGGTCCCAGCGCAATGATGATGTCCCCGCAAGGCTGCCGTCATCATGGGCGGACTCTGCATCCTTGGATGTCGTATGATCGCCGCAGCCCCTTTTGTGTAGCCCTGCGCCTTGTCCTTGCCCCTCCTCAGCACCCTTCCCCTCAACACACCTCCCAAACTCCTCCTTCATCCTTGGGCCCCAGAGTGCACTCCCGCATTCCAAGCTCCCAACCCTGTCCTGCGTCCCCCACTCCTCAATCGCAGGACATTTTCAGGCAACGCCACCTTCAACTATACAATTAGCAACGGCTACTCGCTGCTGACTTCCTCGGCGCCCGTGGTGCTGGTCGTCAGCCCGGCCACCCCTGTGCCTGGCGCCGAGGTCAACATGCGTTTGGTGCTCATCCCCAGCGACAACAGCACAACAACGTCTGCCGCCGCCGCCTGCCCCGTCGATGTGACCCAGCTAACCACGCTCGCAGAGGGCTTTGCTGCAAAGATGCGTACGAGCGACGGCATTACGGACGTGCAGACAACGGCTGTGAAATGTGAATACATCGTGAGTTGTCTTTTCGATACGTAGGGTTCTAGCTTGCTATTTGAACAGCTTCAAAGCAGCGGGTATGTTCGAGCAGGGTTGGCGACGACTATGGTACTTCATGACCAGGTTTGAGCTGCTTTCAGACTAGGCACAAACCTGCCCCGCGAGCTGTTGCACTGGGCATCCTTGGCATTTCAAGCAGAGATTTGCGCATGCGGCCGCCACTGATCAATCAATTGACCCAACTTGCTGGCGTGTTGGCCCACCCCACACGGCAGGACTACAAACGGGTGCTGGTGACACTCGCCACCAGCGTGTCCAGCGCCTCCCCAGCTGCCATGTCCAGCCTCCTGAGCTCGATCAATTCCCCACTAGCTCCTGCCGACCCCCAGCCGTCCAGCGGGCTGTGCGCGTCGTCTCTGCTGGGCCCGCTCTGCACCGACACAAAGTTTGGCGCAATGAAGATTGCCGACGGCTGCGCGACCGTCGCCTTGCAGTGCACGCCCTCGACGCTGGCCGCCAAGAAGTGCATCGCAAGCGGCGGCGCGGCTGGCAGCTACATTGTCGTCCGCAACCCGACCACCAGGGCCGCGACTGTCTTCTTTGATGGGGAGGTGCAGGGGCTGGCTGATGTGGGCCTGAACGACACGAGCAGCATGGATAGCAGCGCCCGCAAGCTGCTGGCCACAGCGCAGCCGAAGGCGGCCGTGTTCCAGGCGTGCTGCGTGAGCCCCAAGCAGAGGGAGCCGCCGAAGGGCAACGCGCCCACCTGCAAGCGGATCAACGTCGGGAAGACGATGACCAAGCTCATGCGACTGTCCAAGTGCAAGTGCCTAAACCTGCGGGAGTTTGTCAAGGCTGAAATGTGCGTGGTGGGGCATGTGGAAGCTCACGTATTACCCAGAGTATGCCTTCGAGAGACCTGACTTGCAGCACTGACACGCCTGCTGCAAGCTTGTTCCAGCGCAATCGCAGTGCTGAGCAGGGGACAGCCCGTACCTTGGACTAAACTGTTTTGCTTCGGCGCGCCGCTTGCGCCCATTGAACTTGCTTAGCATGACACGCATTGTGCCCAGGCACCCAGTGCTTCCCGCTGGCTGCCTGACATTGCCTCCCCCCCTTGCCCTACCCTAAAATGCGTACATGCTGCCCCTGCCCCCCCCATCTTCAAACTTTCTAGGAAAACAAAGCTCCCGAAAGTCAATGTGGCGCACCTCACCGCCAGCTACCCCTTCACGGCGGGTCTAGCGGCCACGGTGAGCCAGGGAAGCTGCACACAACTGGCGCGCCTTGGACAATGCAGCACGCCTTGGACAGCCACAGCTGTTGGGCTGTTTGACGGCCACACCAAGCTAGCTTCAGCACGGCACATGGGCCGCTGTCAAAAAAATCAATCATGCCGCCGCTATGTCTTTGGCTGCAGAGCGCCAGAAAACTTGCAGATCCTGGGACACCCCTGTTTGTGTAGATTTGACCAACCTCAACTGACCATAGCTCTCCTGGAAAAGTGCACGGTCCAGAGCTATTACAATGCTTTTGTATTGACTTTGAGCGTGATTTGTATTTTTTTAGAGTTGAGGATTGCTGTGTCCGCTAACCCAGCTTGTGATGCTGTACAACCCGTGTCGACAGGTGTGCGTGTCCAAGCCGTCCAAGCGCAACCCCGCAAAGTGTGCCAACCAGGTCCTCAATGCTGGATTTGCGACCATCGCATGCCTTGCCCCTGCCACTACCAACGGCTCCGGCATCCTGTCTCTCGAGTTCGAGTCGGCGCGCGGCTTCTCAGTGGGACGCTTGGGCACCGTCGTGGCGACATGCACCAACAGCAAGTTCACGAGCATCAGCTCCTGCAACATCGCGAACACAAACGGCACTGTTGTCACCAACACGCCGGCGGGCGGCGTCCGGCTCGCCTCTGCGGAGTGGGACGCCGGCTGCCTGTGCAAGGCCACGGGGCGCCGGCCCGTAGTGATGGTGCAGGCTGCCCAAGTTGTTGCAGGCCCCTCTTGCTCCCTGACATGACGGGTGCATAATGCACGTGTGGTCACACAGGGCCTCGCCAGGGCGGCCCCAACCACCTTATTGTGTCACAGTCCCACGGGACTCCAAGAATCTGGTGTCCCGACAGGCTCTCTTTGAAGGACAAGATATGTGGTGCATAATGCCCGACAGCATGGTGGCGGCAGCTTGCTGTGGATTTTGATATGGCTGCACTACAGTGAACGGGCAACCTGTGCTTTATGACCTTGCTTAGGGCTCTGCCCATGCATGCCCCGGACTCCTGTTTTGGGACCCAAGGGGATCCTGCTGACACATTAGGCCTAGGCGTGTTGTTGCTTGCAGATGTGCAAGGCTGCACTTGCCGACCTGCGGGGGCGTGCGTGGCTTCCTTGGACGAGCAGCATTTGCACATGCACCTATTCGTGAGAAGGTTGCTTTCTTTGGGTGCACACAGGCCTTCATTGACTGGGTTATGGGAGTTTGATTACCGACCACCCTATAAGCTACATACAAGCACTGTGCCGAGGCCCCTGCCGTTGCGAGGCGCTTGCCATCCCGTTACCCCGCACCTGTGGATTCCATTGCGAGCGGCCATGCACCTGCCGGAGTGCAGGCACTGCATCGCTGTGTGCTGGCAACGCAGGAAGTGTGGGTCAATTTCTCTTTGCATTCAAATAAATTGCGCATTTTACAACCACACTTGCCGCATTGCTGTCTGCTGTGACCTTGGCCCTTGCACTTTCCGGGCAGGGTCTGATTAGCAGGTCGTTCACTCGCGTGCTCCATGTCGCATGCTGCGTGTGGATGTTGCCTGCAGACATGGCGAGGTTAAACTGCAAGGAGCGCCGGCGCCTGAGCACGGTTCATCCCATGTGGTGCAGCGTGCTCATCCACCTGCCCAATTAGTGTCGCTGCACAAACATGGGTCCCGCGGCATCGCACGACTTATATTGATATCCACAGGTGCTGTTGATTTCTGAACGGTGCGTGCTTGCGCTTTGGCACGCCTTTGATTTTCAGGGTTTCCATACTGGCAGGCTACTGGGTGACTAGCATCTCGCCACAGGATCTGTTTCATTTGCACTGATCGACTGTGCGCGGTCCCTGTTGGCATGCCTGCCTTTGTGAATCGAAGCGCCGCTGTCGATCCAGCGCCAGCGAGCACTCGCCGGCCGCCTCCGGGTGCGATCTGTCCCATTTCACTACACAACTTTCTCAAACCGCCCGCTGATCTCGCAGCAGCGGTAGCTTCCTTAGGCCAGGCAGGTGCCTGCTGCAGCGGACCAGCGCACACACGCGTTCAATGAACGGATTCAAGGCCACCTTCTACGGCCCTTCACAGATGGCAGCAGCATACCCTACTGCCCAGCACCTGCATGGTTGCATGTCGCTCTGATGCCTGCTGCCTTGCACGGTTGCTGCACGCTTCACACTTTTGTCCTCACACGAACGCACTACCTGCCACGCGCGCTGCCTGCTCACCATCAGCCCCTGGCATCGAATATTGCTTTCTTGATGAAGCGGGTGTTAGCATGCTGCTGGGTTGACTGTCCTATTGACCGCCGGCAGCTTTTGTTCATCGTCACACCCCTAATATGATACCCTTGGCGTTATTGCTTGGGCATACCCGTTGTGCACACAGCCATTATCTACACGTGGTCGCACAACACAACCGCGCATTCGCAAGATTTCTGTGGGTGTGCGCCTGCTAGCACGGCGCATGCAGTCTCTCTTGTAACGCCGACAGCAACTGCACCTAGCCAACAGTCAGGTGTTGAAACGCAATTGTCACTCAGATGCTGAATGTCTTCCGCATGCGCCTGGGGTACAGCAACAGCACAACAAGCAGCTTCGGGGTTTGGCCCCAACCAGCATTTGCGTGCCAGGCTGCTGGCCACCCATGATCGCATCAATTGATCCACTTCTCCCAAGCCTTCTTGCCCCAGTAACTGCTTAGCGGCTGTTTCAACGTTCCTGGACGCTGTGGGCCGTACATCAGGGGTTGCGTGTGAGTATCTGATGTACAGCCCTGTGACAGACCAGGCCACACCTGAAGATGTCGAGGTGATCGCCCCTTGATTTGTTGCATACAAACATCACACACGCACATGAAGCGCCCAGCCAAACCGCATATACCAAAGGGACTCAATGTGAGTAGAATGGCGGGCCTGGGGCTGTGTAACCAACTCAACAGGATTTACTGAGCAGCCAGACCTCGCTGGTCTTAGGTATGCCGCCACTGCCACTGATGGCTGGCAGCCCTGCGCACTTCCGACCGTTGCAATACCCGTACCCCGTCGCGGCCTGTGCGCATCGTGGCCATGTAGGTCCGCTTGGGATTGCGTGTACACTGCAGAGTGTTTTTTGGGGGTATTCTTGAGCTCTTTCTTGAAATGAGGATCAACGCCCTGCAGCAGGAATGGGGCTGAACACTACCGGTGCGCCTAAGCAGCATACATCGTCGCATCGTCTCCAGGCTGTCACCATGCCGCAGCACGGTGTCATGTGCCTCGAGCGGCGTCACTGGCGGCTACGCGTGCCGCCATGCGCGCACGTTCTTGGATCGCACGTACCACTTGGCCACACCCACGCTAGATATGTGGGTCATTTTATACCACAGCTGCGGCTCTGTTCGCTCGCTCTTTTCACGATCGTGCGTTGATGCTCGTTTGATGCAGATCCTAATGTTGCGATCTTGCTCTGCATCGCAGACCAGGGGTGTTGATTTTGAATAAGAGTTGTTTGCTGAGGCGTCCAACAATCTACGCTCGCTAACCCAGCACAGTATCGGCGACCTGCGCTTGGCGCACCGCCTGCGGCGCCTACTCATGCACCTCTACGCATACCTGCGCCAGGCGTTGCATAGCATGTGCAGTTGCTTCAGAGGCCTATGGCGCCTGTTTTGCGGCGGCGGCCCCGCGCGGCGCGGCGACAAGGACGCTGAAAACCACCAGGAATGGGGGCGCGGCGGCGTGGCGGGGGCCGACGACATCGAAGCGCGGGAGCGGCTGCTTTCCAACGGCGACGCCGACTCTGGACGGGCGCCGGTGCAGCGGCCTGCCAGCCGGAAAGAAAGCTTCGCCCTGGAGGGCGCGGCGGGCGCCGACGGGCCCGCAGTGGAGGACGTGCCGCTGCCGGCGCCACTGGCCGCACGGCCGCGATCCGACAGCAAGCAGCAGCAGCAAGCCCCGCGCGGGGAGCCGCCCTCGGCGCGGCTTTCCAAGGGCGGCCTGAATGCGATAAGCGCCGCCGCCGGCGACACCGGCCGCGCGGTCACCGTCATGCGGCACGGCCACCGACAGGATGAGCTGGACGCGACGTGGTCGCGCGTCGCCACGCGGCCGTGGGACCCGCCGCTGTCCATCAAGGGCCGCTCCCAGGTGTGGACGCCCGCTGGGGGTTTTGGTGGTTCAAGGGTAACGTCATCGACGCAGCCCACAGCACGCAGCTGCGACGCCGCGCGTGCTGCGGGACTGTCGAAGGGAAGCGCGACGCCCGAGATCTCGCCACCTTGCTGCGCCCTCTGCGGATCACCCAGCGATCAAACCGCTTGCAACGCGCACCCGCTGCGGCTTTGAGAGGAACCCATAAACCCTCACCCATCGCGGCGGTCCCCAGGCAAGACAAATACTCAACACGCAGAGCAGGAAACGATAAATTCCTTGTGCCCCAAAACGACCCTCGCCGCCCCCCTGCAGGCGCGAGAGGTCGCGGCTGCCATGAGGGACCTGAACATTGACATTATTGTGACGTCACCCTTTAAGCGCTGCCTGCAGACCAGCGCTGAAATCGCCGCAGAACTGGGGACGCCCCAGGGGGCGTGGCTGGTGGACTGGGGCCTGTCGGAGGTGAGGGGACCGCGTTCTTGTTTCCTGCATTCGCCACCGACTGATGCGTTGGAATGCAAAGGGCCCTGCGGCTTAGGTGCTTCCCTGGGCCTCTTTGCGGGCCCGTGGTGGCAGGTGATGGTTCAGAACCAGGCTCTCTGGGCCATCACAGCTGCCCGCTGTCCCCTGTACTGCGTTGTGAGCAGTAGGGGCGTGAGAGGCAGCCTTCAGAAGGCCCTGATCGTCCCACCCGCCACAGGTGTGCGACCCCCGGGTGCTCATGCACGGCCGCCCCGACTGCGTGCACATGGCCAAGCGACGGCCGGTGGACGCCTGGATGTGGGGCGGCGCCACGATGCAGGAGGCCATTGACATGTTCGTGCAGTCATGTGGGTGCTTGCGTCGCCCTGACTGCGCTGTGAGGCCGCTTGCAGCCCGGGCCGCGGGCATGACAGGGAGGCTGCCGCGCGTGCCGAGGCAGCTACCGCGGCGCATCGCGAGCAGACAGCACACGTAGTGACTCTGCACCCCTGCTTGCTGGCCGGTCTTGCTCAAGAGCAAAG